ACCTCTCGAGGTCCCTTCCAGTCCTAGAATCTATGAATCTATGAAAACCCCTGTGTTTTACGATATGGTCTCTCCAGCTCTCACTGCATACGGGTTGCTGCTTCCTCCACAGCACTTATGAGGATAGACTCCAGGGCAGACCCCATGCAGCCTACTTCATACTTCTCTCCACAGTACAGTTATAATTATTCTGTTTATGGTCCATCAGCCACTTCCATTTGCCCTTCTCCAGACAAACTCTATCTTCTCCCGGGAAATTGTCTCAGACACTTTACCGGCTCACAGCTCTAGCTATATTGGGCCAGACTGGAGATGTAAACTACACCTCCCTGTGTCAATTAATCCTCCTACACCCCGAGAGGGTGACGTACCCACAGTGGTCAGGCAGTGCATGGCCCCACTCATCAGTGACACCGTCCACCTCCCAACATCCAGCTGCCATGGGAGAATTGCACAGAACAATCTCAGGTAGAGGGATCATGCTATTAGGCCACCTCCCCCATTACCAGTGCAGTTTGCTCACTGTAATGTAGTGTATTTACCAGCAGTCTGTCCTGCCTAGATTTAAATGAATCAAGGTATGGGGTTTCTGCCATTGCCCTTGGGACACCATTCTGCAGCCTCATTCATCTCACGCCAGGGCTTTCCCCTGCATGATCCCTTTCCAAATTTCACCCCATTGCCCCCCTATCATCACCCTAAATAACCCCTCTCCCCGATTCAGGGTTCCCATGCTGCAGGCAGGTATCACACCCCCAATGCACGCACCCCTCAGCCAGCATGGACCCCCGCTCTCTGAAGCATTGCCACCACGTACCTCCACCTGCTGGCAGATCTGTATCAGCTTGGCCATCTGGTTTTCTAGTTCACTATTGCGTTTAACCAGGTTGGTGAGGTTCATCTCCAGGGTTTGCTGCCGGCACAGAAAAGGGAAGGAAAAAAAGAAAGAGAGTGTAAGCATCAGCAGAGCTGGAGAACCGGATTCACGGATTATGAACATCTCAGAACAATATCCAGTGATCATGTTTGATGACAAAACACACACACATTAACAGCTTTGGGCAGAGATGCTTGGTTGCATTGGCAGCTTCCACCTGGGCCATTTGCAGCTACCACAGAATGCTGGAATGCTGCTTCATGTAGAAAAGGGAGGCACAATAACCTGCTTCTAAGCCAAAGCTAATGTTATTTCATTATCCCAGGTTGACAGCTACAGTAACTTTCATGGGTGGCTAGAAGGCAGCACAGTGCAAGTGACCCACAGGGTTTGGCAACGCAGCCTGCATCCTTAAAGGTCATCAGCACAGAGGAGGGATTGTGTTTGTGCCTCCTCTATTACTTTATTGATTTACGACCAAGGCCTGGAATTTGGGAGGTGGGTTTTTAATCCTGCCTTGATTTTTTTTCTTTTTGTCTTTTAATGTACAAAACTGAGTTTGACTCTCCTGACTTTCCTGGAAAACTCTATGCACAGCAGGAGAACTAATCGATTATTGCAACTCTTGCAATTTCCCCATGATATTAGGGGTATTTCTAAAAGCCCCAGCTCCTGGAGTCATGAGATTATATGAGGGGTTTTTTTAAAACACATACATTTCTAATCTTTGAGGTTGCAGAGCAAAGCTGAAAAACAGGACCCCTATAGGCTCAAAAACCAGAAGGAAAATAAAAAGAACACCATATTTTTTAAATGTCGTGATTTTTTGGGACCTGGCACCTGTTTTTAAATAATTGGGGTTGGCAGCTCTGTTATGACATCAAAAGATGCCGGGCATGGGAAAGTGAAGTGAGAGTCAAGACACTAAACACACTGCACTTATGTTAATAGCTACAGCATACAACTCCAATGTCCTACACACACCTGGAAGAAAAGCTCTTTTGTTAAAGATACATCTCCCCATCTTTCCTCCCTTCCAACTGCAAGCAGAGGAATCTCACATTGTTACCAAAGAGTCCTTCAGCAAAAACAGGGCAGGGCAGACCAGACTTGATATTCCTCATATTTCTAAAGTAAAAAGCAAACAGCTTTTTGTTAAAAAGCTTCAGGCTCCATTGAACATTATAAAACCCATAAAAATCACACACCTATTTTTCCCAACTTTCATATAGCAATACATATAGGTAGGCTTGGCAGAATTCAATTTCCTTTTTTTAAAAATAATTTCGTCAGAATGTGTATTTTTAAGCATTTTTTAAAATTATTATTTAAATTTTCACAGTTGTGGGAAATTATAACAGCATCAGAGAATGGGGAGGGGAGACAATTATTATTTAATTACTTTAGACTGCTGAGATTCAAAAAGTTAAAGCTTTATAACCATTCAAATACAAATTGTCTACGTAATGTGTCAAAATATATAAAGTAAATACTCTAAAATCAAACTCTAATAAGTTCTCAAGGAGCGTTTTCCTTACTTTGCCTATTGTGACGGGGCAAGGCCAGATGGCTATAGTAAAGTAGTGAGGAACAGGTATGTTAGCCCCAGGCTAAACAAATCCCCGGTACCATGGTAACCAAATGGCAGTTGCTCCAGGTTAATCAAGACACCTGGGGCCAATTAAGATCCTTCTAGAAAGCAGTGGAGAGAGCTAGGTTGACTGGGACACCTGAAGCCAATCAAGGGCTGGCTGGAACTAGTTAAAAGTCTCCCAGTTAGTCAGTGAGGCATGCTATCAGGAGCGGTAGGAGGAAGCTGAGCTATTGGAAGGACTAAGCAGTACAAATCCATATCAGGCGCAAGGAAGGCGGCCCTGAGGTAACGGTGAAGGAGATATTGAGTGGGGGCTGCTGTGGGGAAGTGGCCCAGGGAATTGTACACATCCTATTTCCAAAAAGTCAGCTACCATAGCTGCTACTATTAGGGTCCCTGGGTTGGAGTCCGGAGTAGAGGGTGGGCCCGGGCTCCCCCCTCCTCTCCCCGATCAATCACTGAGACCAGGAGACAACAGAGACTGTGCAAGGGAGGGTTGCTTCTCCTCACCTCTCTTGCTGGCTTATGATGAAAATGTCTCAGTAAGCTGTGACCCTTGCCTTTAGAGAGAGAAGGGCTACGTGGAGGGTCACAATGAGCCTCTGAGGCTAGTGAAATCCGCCAGGAAATGCGGGAGCCACGGAGACAAGGACAGAGCTTTGTCACACTATCTGTAAATTTTTATCATCATCAATGAAAATAATTTTTGTCAGTTGTGTGTGTGTGTATTGTAAAATTGACGTTTATCGATGTTTGCTGATAAAAATCTAATCCTTCCAAGCCTACCTCTAAGCTACTCAGGTAAAGACAGAGCACTGCATGCTGGGATTTGTAGTTTTCATGGCTTGCAGTTTTCAGGAGATGAGGGAGACTGCAATCTGCGCTGATTGAGACAAGTGCAGTGCATCCCTTGAGGCTGCTGACAAGTTGCCAATGCGTCCCTAGCTGGACATCGTTCAGCCAACTCTTCTTTTAGCAGCACAAGATGTTATTCTGCATCCAGTTCTCAATTGGGAAACCTGTCTGATATGAATAAGTTACTCTATTTTCTATCCATTCTCTCCCCTCCTCATCTTGTGTCTGTTATTGAGATAAAAGGCTCCTGGGAGAAAAATTGTGGTCTCAGCGACATAACTACAAGCTGTCTTCATTTCCGTTGCCAATTCCCCAATCGGACTAACATTTTGTTCTTGGTAAATTACAATTTAATAACAGAAAGCAGGATTTCAACCAAACCAGACAGAGATTCCCGAGAGATTGTTTATTTTGATGGTTATGCTGACATTTTGACTGATCACTTTGGATTCTCTGGACATCCCGCTATAAGCTCCTTCAGACCCTTTAATCCTCTTGTATTTATAAAGAGCTAGAGTTTAACATTTTCAAAGTGCACATGTATAGTGAGGGGACTGTTTGATTCCTGTCCAGCACCTAGACAGCCTTGTACTGATGCTGCTGTGTCAAAGGATGGAATTGAGATGGGACACAGGAAACCGGTTTTCTTGTGACTAATTGAAAGGTTGGGTCCAAAAGCAAGGGGAATCCTTTCTAAAATGGGGCCAATGAACAGGAGGTGGAGAGAGATTTTTATTTTCTAAGCAAGCGTGAGGAAGTGTAAATCAGCCCAGCAAGCGCACACGCAGTGTGCTGAAACACGCTTCAAAACTTCGAGAGAGAAAACTTGGGTTGGCAGATGGGTAAATACAACAAACTTTGATATTAACACACACTGAAGTGTTATGCTGCTCCCCTGCTCCCCCAACCAATGGAGATGCAGCATTGTAGAAGCCTTACAGCCCCTAGCCAGAGTGTGCACCTTGGTCAATCTGTCTAACTACAGTCTCGAATGTCAGAAATACAATCACAACCCTCGCACCACCAACCCCACAAAACCCCAAATTTCTGAAGGGGGGTTGTTAATATTATAGCGAAATAAAAAAAGTCATTTGTGGTTAACCACAACTAGAAGGTTTTGTGTGGAAGCCTGGGCCATTTAGATGAACTGAGACAGTTTGCAATCATGCTTCCACTTGCTGCCTATTACGCTAAATGCTGGTTTGCTGCCACATCGGTCCTGGTGTGCTGGTTGATGTAATATTTATGGAGAGGAATGCAATCTAACAGACATAGGAGCAGCTAGACGAGAGCCCATTTGAAACTATTTCAATATCTGTGGACACACAGTGGACTTGTGCTTTTGGATATCAATAATTTAAATGACATCACATTTCCATTAAAATATGTGATTCCACTAAGAGAAAATGTTTTACAACAAAGTGCTCACAACCTGTTGCAATACTTGTCATGAAAATGATACCCTATTAATATTTGAAGCTTCAGAGCCGAAAAAGAATCCCCGTGGTGTTTTATTCATACTTGGCTTAGAACTGCAGCCCATAGCTCCCAGCAAGACTCTAACAGTCCCATAAACAAGGATTCCCTCTGCATGCACATATAATTCTGGGACTGGTTAGCCAATGGAACTTGAATCACAGTCATAAAATACAGGCAAATCATTAATTCCTGAAACCCACTGGCTCCTAAAATATTCAGAGCTCATTTGCAATCCTGCGAATGGCTAGCCAATGGCTGAAAAACATAATAAAGAAATAGGATTGAAAAATGACATGAAACTCAAGCGGCTTTCATTAAACTGAAAATGCTATGCAAAACAAACCTACGTTTATAATGAAAAAGCCAGCTGTTAACAGTTTTTGCCACTGTTTTCTTATAGCTCAATATTATTAAACATAATTTGAATAAAACACTGAGCATTTAACATGCTAATTATCTTTCTCATCATTGACTTGGCTACACTGGAGTTTCTGCGCTGAAATGGGAGTTGATCTTCTTTAATGGTCTAATGCCGTTGAGGAGGGGCAAGGAGGGTGGGAGAAGTGAGTTTTCAGTTAAATCCTTCGTTACATGAAATTCTCAAATAGCTGTTCAGGAATCCAGGATCTACAGCTAAGAACATAAGAACGGCCATACTGGGTCAGATCAAAGGTCCATCTAGCCCAGTATTATGTCTTCCGACAGTGGCCAATGCTCCAGAGGGAATGAACAGAACAGGTAATCACCAAGTGATCCATCCCCTGTCGCCCATTCCGAGCTTCTGGCAAGCTGTTGTCTTTCTTCCTGGGGGGCGGGAGAGGGAGGAGGAGAGAGAGAGAGAGGGTGTGTGTGTCCTGTAAAGCATCCATAACACTTTATATTGAGCAGGCATCAATTCTTTAAGTGTTCTCTGATATTAAAACAACAGTCCAGGTCCTAAGGATGTACTAAATAAAAAGTCCCAAATACTCTTCTTGATACTCCTGTCCTTCAAACCATCTTTGCCGAAAGACAGGGCTGACCATTGCTCGGTGGACTAGGATAGTACATGAAAATGCAAACATAGGTTGCTTCTGTTTAATTTGCTGAAAAACAAAAAGAAAATATA